AACTACTGTTTACACCATGTGACAGTTATGTCATTAGTTGCTACATGCTGCTCCATCTACACCCTCCTCATGTTGTTTATCGTGATGTACAAAGTTGCCTTATTCACATTTGGATCTTTTTGCAACGGGGTCAGATAAGGCGTCTAAACATTTCTGTCTACTTACAACCTGTGACTTTTTATAGTGTAAATATAATAATATTTTAAAAATAGACTGTTTTTCAACTAGCCTTTACTGACAATGCCTAATGAAGGAAGTCTGGAGAAACTTGGTTTTCCAAAGTGGTGATTGGTAAAATAGTTTTCATTAGAACAGGTAGTGAACCATCCATCAGTTTCTTTGTATCAGACTAAGTGGTTGACTAGGACAAAGCAAAAAAAAAAATTAGCTGATGAAGAAAAACAAAGTATTAAAAAAAGTTTGTCCCTGTGCTCGGTGTTCAGGGAATTCATAGGACTCGCCACATTAGATGTAGCATAAAAATTATGCTAGCTAAATCGGTTCCACTGCAGTTAATTGCACAGCGCATTATTGTCTCTATTATTCTCTCTTCTCTCTGTGGTTAGCTATTTGAAAAAGAGGCAACCTCAGCAGGCGGTGACGAGGCTCGTGGACAGGCAGAAAATATGTGAAATGTGACTTTTGTTAAAGATACAACAAGCTAATATTGTTTGTACTATGTTTTATTGTGTTAGTATTGAGGCGCCAGTATGTGCAGTAGAACTCTGAATTTATCTTTATCCCATTGTGACCATTTTAGTTTTATACATTCTCCAAACTGATTTTTAGATAGAGACCAGACAGCTATTGGTGCTAGCATTTGATAAAGACAAACAGAGACAACTGTTTAAAGATGGAGTTTTTAGTTAAGAAACAGTAACATCTAGTTTTTCTTACCCAAATACAATGTGTATCCTTGAGGCCTAACAAACACATGTCCTTGTTTATTTGCTAGCTATGCATATTACATTTGTTACCGCAACCAACTGTTGATCAGTGGACTAGCATGAATCTGTTAGCCGGAATGTGTAGCGCATAGCCTGTGTGCACGAGATATTAACAAAATGGAGACACACTCTTAAAAACATTGCTCCATAGCACTACTGTAGCCAAAGACTCCATGGCGTAACCTTAGGCTGGGCATACACTGTACGTTGTTAGTTTTATTCCAACTCCTACTGTAAGAGTAAATTGTCTGCAATGTAAAGCCAAAGCTCACGATTTATGTGTATGCGTAAAATAGAAAATAAAATTGCCCGTCGGCCCCTGTGGAATGTTCTGGCTATTGATAATCGGCAATAAAGTTTCATTTGAAAGCTCTGAGGCGAGTAGAAGTTTGTTTGCTGGCAATGGCTAACAAACGTGTTGCTTTTGATAATCCTGTGTGCCAACTGTTGAAACTTCTATATGGAATTTATCTTGTTCATACCGGTCGGATTTTCCATCCACCGTGTCGCCAATGCACCTCTGTTTGCCACTTCACGTAACAAAGGTGCTATGAGAAAATAGGCACAGACTTTGGGAACTGACTCGTGGCTCTGCTGTAACTGTGCAGGAATCCGTCAAAGGCTGCAGTTGAACTTTTGACTGTGTCCTACTGGCTAATCACTGCACAAAGTGGGCGTGATTGACAGATTGTTTGTTTCAGGATATTGTCTGACAGTGATTGCACTGTCACTTTGCTTTGCCTTTGGTAGACTTCAAAATGGCCACCAATAGGACAAGATTTTCAAGAGTGAAAAAGTGGTGTTTGTGAAAGGAAGGAGTTTGCCACAAAGACGATACTGGTTGAGATAATTAAAAAACTAGAAGTCTGCTTTAGCTGTGTAGATGAAGTTAGCAGCATTAGTTAGCTTTAGTATTTTGAATAGTGTCATGAGTGCTTTTGGATGGTTGTACATATTACTGTGTGCAGTCCTGTGTTTTTACTATTAGCAGTGTGTAAGGGCATAATTATGCTCCGTATTATACTCTTTAGTGTGTGTGTGTGTGTTTACACTCTTCACCTGCTCTTTTTACACTTTGTACCCGACTTGACTTTTCCTAATAGCCTACCCTTTGTATAGTTTGATGATAGTTCCTGCTTTCTGGTGAGTGAGCCTTTTCTGTACTGCCAATGGTTTATTGTTTCCTAATGACTCTTGGAGTCTTGTATGTTTCCGAATAAGAAAGCTTTTATTTGGGGGACATGGGCTGCATCTGAAACCATTCACTGTTTTCTATACTGTCTGATATTAACTCTGTCTGTCGTTTTATAGCACTGCTCAAAGTGAGGATTATTGAATCCTATATAGTGGACATAATCCCACGATTAAATTAAAATCATAGTAAATAATGCCACGTTCACGCTATGTGTGATGGAAGGTAGCGATGGGAAAGAATTGCAACTTTGTCTGACAACAAAAGATGATTGTATGACTGAAAAATACTGCATGTACAGCACTCTATCCATTGAAGTTTGTTTACTTTGAATTGCGGAATTTAGCTGAGTTGATATGCTTTTACAGACACGTTTCCAGGTTGGGTATAATCAAGATTTCAGAAAAGTGCTTGCAAGTCACAAGTACGACTTGGTCTGGTCTTTACACTCTCATGTGTACTTCTGTAAATCTCCATGATTATGTGATTTCAGCTAGTGCTTGGACCCATATATACCTCCTGAAATGCACATGGTTCCAAGCAAATTTTTCCTTCTTCTGCCCCCTTAAAAGCACACTGCCAACCACATAGACAACGAACGTGGCATAAGCAATGATCGGTAACCAACTACCATCATGCATTGTTAATGACCTGAGTAGTGTCTGATAGAATAGTCTATATCTGCAGAGGTGAATGTGATTTTAGATCTCGGCTCTTGGCCTGCATGAGTTCTCTTGTCGCATCCTGTCATTTCAGATACTGAGGGAGTATGTGTTGTATGAGCTATAAATAGTGTTGGTGTTACATATCTGACAGGATGCAGCACAGTCCTACATGAGTACCACACCCTGGTCTACTCCACTTTGCCTTGGAAAAGCAGCCGCTACTACCCACAGTCCCTTTGTGTTGCTCCTTCTCTAAATCCTTGAAACACTCCAGCTGCTGTTATCATCTCTGTGATCAGAGGCTGGTTGCACAAGGATATGTTCTTGTCTACAGCAAACTAAAGATTGTGAAACAAACCAAACAAACAGAGGGTTCTACATCCAAACAAGTCTTTCCCTTTTTTCTGTTCATTCCCCATTTCTTGAAAAGAGGCCATGCGACTCCAATGACTAATATCTCGTAATCAGAATTATTAAATTCTCAAATCATGATAGTGGTGTCAGCTTCAAATATACAGTGGAGCTCTGTCTTTTTTGGGGGGTATTTTATGCCTTTATTAGCAAAAATTGGAGAAACGGTAAGAAACAAGGTTCTCGGCCAGATTGAACCGGGGACGTTGCAGTCCATGTGTGGCGTTGCAGGCATAGCTACTAACTTCTCACATCCAAGTTCCATTCAACGTTCGTAACATTGATTTGAGAAATAAGTAGCTATGCTTGCTTGGGTAATGTTTGCTGACCAACAGCTAGCTAGCCAACTAGTGTTACCTTGGTAACAGTAGTTATGTT